CTGGCTGCTTCTTCTTCAGCAGCTTTTCTGGCCGCTTCTTCTTCAGCAGCTTTTCTGGCCGCTTCTTCAGCAGCTTTTGTGGCTGCTTCTTCTTCAGCAGCTTTTCTCGCCGCTGCTTCTTCAGCAGCTTTTCTGGCTGCCTCTTCTTCGGCAGCTTTTGCAAGAGCTACTGCTGCAACTGAAGGTACGCCTGCAATTGTTCAGTAGCACGGTGTTGTTTTTTGCTTGTGGCTGTAGGTCCTATTCACACGGTATCATGTCATTCTTCCAGCGTTGTCATGCACATGTCGCCCTGTTGATGTGAACTGGAACTCACACCAGCCTAATATATTAGATCCTAGATTCCAAATGACCAGGGGTTGCCCCTCACGATATCCTACATGTTTCTTGGACTTGGTTTCATCGCCTGCACCTGCATCGGCCGCGCGGGCCTTGCAAAAAAGCAGCCGATCACAGGGGGCCGATCCAAAGCTCGCATGCATCACCAGTGTCGAAACAAAACCCTATCAACCAGCCATCAGGCTCTCTCATAAAAATAAGTTGCAGAGGAGATTCTCCGTTTCGACGTTGAAAGTCTTCCTGTCCAATGACTGGCCGGCCCTGGAGGTTTGACTTCACCGGAGGGGCCATGTCTGACACCTCCCCACACCGGAATTCAAGCCTGCTTGAGCGCCTGCAACGGCGGTCGTGGACTTGACGAGCCCACTAGCGATGGCCTCCACCCTACTAGAAATGGTCTCCAAGAGCGATGGCCTCCAAGCTAAGAGCAATGGGAGCTGCTTGTCAACTTGTCTATCAATGAGTTGCTTCTATGTCCGTTTCATCTGGGTTTGATCCCGGCCCCGGTTTCTTCCTACCAAACTATTCAACCTGAAATGAATATATATAATATAACTCTATTATAATTCATTCTAATTCTATGTGTTTTGCGCCGTCTTTGAACCTTCTTTGCAAAGCCTGAGCCTGGTGCTGTTGATCGACAAGCTCAGGGTCCTGCAGCACCTCAAATGCCTTTAGATCTCAGACTGCACCAACTCTCCTGAGTAGTGAGTGATGGACATGGCACTTCATGGGCACCAACAACCGGCACGCGCTCTTGAGCGCGGCATTCCCATCCTCTTGAGCAAGATCCCCTCAGCGGGATCAAAGCCATGCTTCATCCCAAGCGGCGCCTCTCGCTCTCGCTCCTGTGCAGCTCGCAATGCCGCCCCTGTGCGCGTGGGAGATGAAGAGGGGCCCGCTCAGGTGACGCGGAAAAACACCTTCTTGACCTGCGGTCCCTTCAGGGCAAAGATTTCAAGACGCCTCAGTGGAATTCCCTCCGGCCTGCTTCCCATCCCAAATGCAAGACAACCACCATGAACATACTCCAAACCACATGACAGCTTTGAACCATAATGTCCAAGACACAAGCGGGGCCCCCGCGGCTGCAAAGAGCCAGAAAACAGATGTAACATCATTCAAAACCACTTGCCATGGACCTGTGCCACCGTGCGCCCGTGTCTGCCACACCTGGCCTAGGCCCAGATCCTTCAAGACCTCCTCGACCGACTCGCAGGCGTTCCGGCCTCGAAAAGCCCTTTCCGACTGAACATGAGGCTTTTAGTGATCCCCAAATAGAGAGGATGGCGCGGTTTCCAATACATCCCGCACGTGGGGGATCGAGGCTTCCGGGGTCCTTTTCTCTTTCGCCCGAGGTCGGCGAGAAAACG